GCAATCAATTATATTGTTGAATAAAAAATTAAAGATACAAGTATACTACAATCAAACACTGAGTTGTAGATGGATGCCAGGTAGAATATTTGTCAAATTAAATATATAAATTTACTACAATCAAACACTGGGTTGTAGATAGATTACAGATAGAATATTTGTCAAATTAAATATACAAGTTAACTAGAGATTTAGAGAACAAACGTCAGACGCAAGGTTTTAGGGAAAAAAAATATATATATATCTTTAACGAGATTGACTACTGGTGTGTAACAATGAAGCGTTTTATACAGTAGATCAAATCGTAAGGAGATACTTGCAGGAGAAGGTGTATTTTTTTTTCTACAGTAGAAACGCCGTCAAGTGATATAAGAAGATAAGTTGAAAGTCGCGGAGAACAATTTATTCTATTTTTTTTCAAGTTGTTAGATTTAAAGAAATATAATTCTATGTATTGTTATTTTTCCAAATTTTTACTAGAGGGATTAACACATTTTGATAAAAAAAATTAGGAAAAAAAACAATCTTTAGCTTTACGTTTTTTATAATAAAAGTTCTTTTATGCTTCCTAACTTGACTAACGAAACGAATAAAAATATATATGCCAGTTTGACGCTTATAATAATCCACTTGCTTGACGCGAAACGAATCAATTCACTTAAGCAAAAGTCCAGAGAATAAGAAAACAGAGCAAGTGTTGCATTTTCTTTAATACTTTATAAACATCACATTGTTTATAAACCGCCACCTGGCTGTGATTATATCTTATTGTGGTGACGTGTATTTACTATAGCTACGATTACTACATTTACATGTTTGTACGTCTGTTACTCATGGTTGAAAGCGTTAGGATCAAACGATAAATTCAAAACACCCATGGGTAGTTTTAACTTCCTTGAATGGTGTCAATTTTACTCTTTCGAAGAACTGTGGATTTGGGAGCATTTACACCTTTACAGGTCTGCATGTTTCGTAACAACAGTCAAGGGCAGGCTTTGTACTGGTATAATTAAAACTAACCTGTAACCAATCAGAAACTAACTAATATAATATAACATTAATATCATGAAGTGTTGAGGTTCTTTAACAATCTTTTGTTTCAATATGATGTGACAATTTATTTAAACAAGTTTTTTGTTACAAACTATTGTTATAGGCTTCTGCAACAATATGACGTAAATTGTAAGAGATTTCTCATAAATAGAACAATGTAATTTAGTAAGCTCTTAATTAACAGTTAATAAACATCATAACCTAATGTTTTAAAGAACATAACCGATAGTTGGATGATGAAAATATCTGTTAAAAATATCAGATCTCAAAAGTAATTTTTTACTTGAATCTTGTATTCATACATCGGGTCTTAACCGTTTCTCAGTACTACAAAAGTAAAACGTAATCTCTGTTGAACAGATTGTACTGCATATTATATCGTCGGTTGTCACGGAAACAGTTTAAAATAGGATAGTTTCAAGGTAGGACGGGAAGTTACAATTAATTAACCTAGCGTCATTTTTATCAAATATGTCTTAACTTTCCGTTGCAAAAAATACTTAAATAATATTCAAAAAATTGTATTTTCTAAGAAATATTTCGCCAACATTCAGTAACGAGTTGTAGAATTGTTCAGATTTTGGTCAAGGATTTATTCAAGTCATTTCCTCAACTTGAATCTCAATATGAAGCTTTTATTTTAATATCATTTAATATAGAGTTAAGACATCAACCAACTAAAATGTTTATCCAACAATATAATTGATTGCTCTATTGATAACATGGTTAAATGTCGACCAACTAAAATGTTTATCCAACAATATAATTGATTGATCTATTGATAACATGATTAAATGTCGACCAACTAAAATGTTTATCCAACAATATAATTGATTGCTCTATTGATAACATGGTTAAATGTTGACCAACTAAGATAGGACATATTTTCTATCTGGAATCTATCTACAACCCAGTGTTTGATTGTAGAAA